AATGCCGAGTTTTTTTAACATATTTTTTCACTATCCGAGAAAATTTCTCATCTACTTATTATGAGAAGTGAAAATGAGACTTCTAGTGATATCGTGAGAAGGAGTAAAAAGCCAAGGAAAGATTTTTTTCTATGGTAATGATTTTTACACTTATCTTATTAATAATGACCCTTTAACTTACTCGAATCCATCTTTTCTTTTGATTTACATTTTTGGAAAGAAACTATTAAAACTAAAATTAATTTTGTTTTACAAAATAAAACTTAGGTTTATATGATTTAGCTTTAGAAGCAAAACTTATTGGTTCCAAATAGATTTTCAAAAGAAAATTTAACCTTAAAGGTACTATTGAAAAAATTAGACTTGTTGCTAAAGGTTTTACACAAAAACAAAATGTTGACTATTTTAACACTTTAGCTCCTATCACTAGAATCTCTTTCATACGAGTTTTAATAGCTTTGGCTTCCATCCATAAACTTTTTATACATCAAATAAATGTTAAAAATGCCTTTTTGAATGATGATTTAGAAGAAGAGGTGTTAAAATTGCCTTTTTGAATGATGATTTAGGAGAAGAGGTTTACATAATATAGCTCGAGGGCTATATGGGTCATGGTCAAGAAAATAAAGTTTGTAAGTTGCTTAAGTCATTGTATGATTTAAAGCAAACACTTAAATAGTAGAATGAGAAATTTGATCAAGTAATATTGAGTGATGGTTTTACTACCGTTGGAATAGATAAATGTGTTTATACAAATTTTATAGACAATGAATATGTAATTATTTATTTATATATGGATGATATGCTAATATTTAGCTCTAGTCTTAATATAGTATTTAGTACTAAACGATTCCTAGCTTCTAAATTTGATATGAAAGATATGGGTGAAACTAACATCATTTTAGGTGTTAAAATCATAAAGAATTATAATAGGATAATATTGACATAACAATATTATGTTGAGAAACTTTTTAAGAAGTTTGAACACTTTGATGTAACCCTTATGATTACTCTTTATGATGCAAACATCCAATTAAAGACAAATAGAGGATATAGTGTTGCTCAACTAGAGTATGCTTAGATTATTAGGAATCTAATGCATCTAATAAACTTCTCGAGACTCGACATAGCCTATGCATTGTATAGGTTGAGCGGATATACTCAAAATCCCAATCATAATCATTGGACTACATTAGTCTATATAATGAAATATTTAAGAGGTACCATGAACTATGGTATTCTATATAGTGGATTTTTCACTATATTAGAAGGATACAGATGATGCAAGCTGGATCTTTGATTCAAATGAGATAAAATCCACTAGTGGATATGTGTTCACCCTTGATGGGGGTGTTATATTATGAAAATCAGCCAAACAAATTATTATTGCTAAATCCACTATGGAGTCTAACGCCGAGACCTTGATCTTTCATTCCTTCTCGGGTTCCTTGGATGATTAAAAGTAGCAAACAGTGCTTATTTCTCACTAGGATGGAGAACCCATACCCATTCCTAACTCGACAACCAGAGACAGGCGACGTAGCCTTCAATTCCATTCTTCGTCTCCCTAGTCGCAGTATTCTTGCTCAACCCAACATGTATTTTACGATACCGTGCCGGGGTAATAGGCGCGCTATAGTCACACATTCTTGTAGCTACTTTACCTATGTGGGACCATCGTCTAGTATCTTTGCCTATGGTTGATTGGTCTAAGGTTTAAAGTGCGAGTATAAGGTCCGTCTCCATGCGTTTATCATCTTAGTTAGCGGCATTTGTTGCTTTGGAATTGATCGGTAATGAAGCTGAGTGGTTAAGGAATTTTTAAACCAATATTTTTTTAGGTATGAAACTAAAATCTTTAGTGTCTATGCATTGTGATTGCCAAGCTACAATAGCCATTGCATAAAAAAAAAAAACCCTTTAATGGAAAAAATAGACACATACGGTTGAGGCACGAAGTGGTAAAGCAACTACTCGGAGGTGGAATTATTTCTATTGATTATGTAAAGTCGAAGTGAATTTGGTCGATCCTTTGACTAAACCGTAGGAAAGAAAATTAATATATGAAATATTAAAGGGAATGGGACTACAACCAACTTGAGACATTAACGAGTGATGGTAACCTAACCTATGTGATTGGTGATCCCTAAATTAGGTTCATATGAGTAATAACAAGTCACTTGTTGATCCTTGATAACATTAATCTTTCAAGTTCTTTCTATGATGTGTGGTGCTATATTGAAATTAAAGTGAGAATGAGTTAAACTCTTAATGAATTATGTATTTCTTAATGGTGTATGAATTTTAGTATACACTTGATGGAATCACTTATATGAGTGTGGAGTAGGGCCACTCCTATGAGATTCTTTGGCAAAATCTCTAAAGCAATCAAGAATTACCAAGCACGCGCATGGCCTATTAAGGTAAAACCATGTTAAACAATAGAGTTGGGGGTGTAATGTGAACGGTGAGGTCAATAATTTACTACAAGGATTATTGGTTCATAAAAATTTTGAATTTCATCAATGATCTAGTAAATTAAGTCTTATTTGTTCAAAGTCCGGTTCGTAGCCCAAAAGCCACAAGGCTTAATGCATTATGCTCGAGTATACACCTAACAAAATCCTAAACCTATGAAAATCTTTTGAAACATGGAAATATGTGGGGGATTGTTGTGAATATTTTAAAAGATTGTCAAAACTTTCCATCTCACATTGCTAAAGAAGAGGCATAAGATAACACTTTATTAAGAGAAGTGTATTATGGGTTTATAAAAGGCAAGTAAGATGGATTGGACTCATGCACAAACGAGTCGGTCCAAGCTAAGGCAAAATGACCTCGTTTGCTCTCTACGCGCAATAACAACGCTCAATCTAAGCCCTTTTTTAGGTCATTCATTTAAATTTTCCGACCTAAACTCGGACTTGTTCAAGATAACTCATATTTTTGCTACCATGAAACAGGTCCATTATCACTCGTTTATTAGTCCAGATTTTTGATGGTATTATGTGATTTTGCTCCACAATTATCTCCTCCCTTCTCTCACCAAACTAGCCTAATTAGCCTATAAATACCATTTTTGCTACTAATATTGAGCACACACAAAAAAATCCTCTCTCCTTCTCGACTTCATAGTTTTTTATTGGGTTCTCATTATCTCTCGTTATTTCTGCTCTTGGTCTTAATTTCAGAAGGATTGGTTTTATCCTAAGATATACGAACTAGTATCCTTAAGCATAGTGATTACATAACTCTAACAATTGAGGACAGTGATTACACAACTCTAATCATTGACTATCTTTTACTTGCCCTTTTATTTTTATTCAACATTTTTGTCATAAGCCTTTGCTAGATCAATTTTGAAGGCCAGGTGACATCTATTTCTTCAAGTGCCGAACACTGAAGGACTTCTTAGGCTAGGACTGCAGTTGTTCTTCCTAAAATAAATACTCCTTAAAGAGGGCTGATCAAAGACTGGAGAAAAGGGCAAATGCGTTGCACTAGGACTTCGGGCAATATCTTATGATTGGCAGTGCACAAGCTAATTGGGGTAGAATTGTTTCAGGTAGATGGTATTTGGATCCACCACTGATATTTCGACAAATTAACCGAAGAGAGCAAGTGTGTACTAGTGAAAAAAGCTTATTGCACCAAACGAACACTGTGTTCTTAACAATGTCCAGTACTTTTAATAATAATAATAATAATAATAAAAGAGGTCAGAACCCATCTAAATTAACTGAGGACTTGTAAGATTTCATATATTTGACTATTCTATCGACCTCCGCCATGGGCATTGGGTGAAGAAGAGGCCACGTCTAACCTTGTCCTTGTGTAAGGAATGGATGGTTCATACGAGGAAAATGTATAATAAACTGGGTATCTCATCTTTAACTACGATGTCATCAGCATCCCACCTGCCATTTTCATGCTTAAGTCTTCCACTTTGATTGTTTATATGTCTCCAAATAGTTATAGCATGAAAAGCGAGTAAATTGATTCTCCAGTTGCGGCTACTGAATCATGGACTTTTAGATTCCGAAAACCTCCTCTTGTCATGGATTCTCTTGATAGTAATTAAAATCAGTTTTATTTGCATGTTTTTTCTTATTTTAAAGGAGAAATGACACCATTTGCCTTTATAGGAAAAAAAATAAAAATAAAATGAATTCGGTGTTTGTTCTTGATCGATTCACATCAAAATAGGAGAGAGGGTGACAATGAATTAGTGCTGAAAGGGCATTTTCGGTATAACATTAATCATGTAATATTTTTTTATGGTTTTATAAAAAAAATGTTAGATTGGAAATTAACTTAATATATCATTTTAAAATATATAAAGACAAATTATTGGACATTTAATCCATTATATAAGAAGTAATTTTTTCTTTTATAAATGTATTGAAACTCATAACCTAATAGATTATAATATATATTTCATCAATAGAATATATATTTATACACATAAGCACGTTATTAAGTTACATCAATTAGTTTGGTTCCCGAAATTTGATATCTGATTCCCTATGGAGTGACAAAATTCAAACCTAAAATTTCATATTGAATAATTTGCTTCTTCTTTTTTCCATATGAAGCAACTCTTTGATAGTGATTTTTTTTTTTTTTTCATGTATGCACAAATTAGATTAATTATCTATTTGGCTCCATGGCAAAGGTGTTTTTTCCTTTTTGTTGGTTTTTCAATAAAAAAAAAGTCAACCAATTCTAGTTGGTAAAACGACAACGGGTCGTCGGATCTTAGTTGATCTCCCCATTATTTCATACCCCATTCGTTTAAATTACGTAATGGCATGTGCACCTACCTATGCACGCATCTCACGACTCAAAAGTTAATTAATTATTTAATTATTGGGGAAAAAAAAGAGGCGCGCTTGAAAGAATAACAACTCCTACGGAATCTGCGACACCGCAACAGAGCACAAAAAATCCTCCACAAATAATAATCGCCTAATTAAACCCGAAACCTAAACCCGAACCCGATGGGTCTCCCCACCACAGAACCTGACGCCGAATCCTCTCTCCTCCTCTCTTCCACCACTACCAGGACCACCATCCCCCAACAAAAAATCCCGAAAGACACGTTCCACTTAGCCTATATTATCTACTTCACTCTTGGCCTCGGCTTTCTCCTTCCATGGAACGCATTCATCACAGCCGTTGATTACTTCTCTTACATCTACCCTGATGTCTCCGTTGACCGCATCTTTTCCGTTGCTTACATGGTCGTGGGTTTGGCGGGCCTTGTTGTCATCATCCTTTTTTATGCACACAAATCGGATGCTTATTTGAGAATTAATCTGGGTTTGGGTCTGTTCGTTGTGTCTCTTTTGGTTGTTCCTGTTATGGATGCTGTTTATATTAAGGGTCGGGTCGGGTTGTATGATGGGTTTTATGTTACTGTTGGGACTTTGGCACTTTCGGGTTTGGCGGATGCTTTGGTTCAGGGTGGACTTATTGGTGCTGCTGGTGAATTGCCTGAGAGGTATATGCAAGCTGTTGTTGCTGGCACTGCTGCTTCTGGTACTATTTTTTTCTCTTTTTGGCTGTTTCTTCAAATTGTATCGAAATCTTGATTGCTTCTGTTTTCTTGAATTTATTGACATTTTTCTCATTTTGCATAAAGCCAAATTAAATCACTGAGAAAGATCATAACCTGGAACTTTTTTTTCATTGAAATTGTTTAAAGTTGTAGTTAGCTTTAGTATGTTTATTTGTCTATGTAAATGTGAGCTGAAAACTTCGACTTTATGTAGTTTTTAAACTTTGATAGGCAGTTGCATTAGGCAAACTCTAATGCAACCTTATGATGTAATGATTTCTCATTGGACTTGTGATCTTACATAGCAAGAAAATTGGATGGTTTGACTGCCTAGCCAATCTGCTATGAGGAAGTTTATGTATGATAGAAGCAAACAGAAAGGGCTTTTCTCAACTTCATCATATCATTTCACCTCCGAAAAAATTGGAATTATGTTTAGAAAGTTTGTCTTATGCTGGAATAGGTAAGAGTATGTCTCTAATTAAGAGTTACTAAGTATCTATTGCAATCATTAGAATGGTTCCTATATATTCTCTTAATTATGTGCTTCTATAACATGGTGTTGTGATTGTCAATGTGTTGACTAATCATGCAAGGAAACTACATATTTCACAAAGTGGAATTTTTAAGTTTTTTAATTGTTGAATGCAGGGGTCCTTGTTTCAATTTTAAGAATTTTAACCAAAGCAGTATACCCACAAGATTCCCATGGTTTGCGAAAAAGTGCGATCCTCTACTTTGCTGTTGGAATTGTAGTCATGGCCATATGCCTTGTCTTTCACAATGTGGCACATAGACTGCCAGTTATGAAGTACTATACTGACTTGAAAGTTCGGGCTGTGATTGAGGACAAAGAGGAGAAAGGTTCCTTGTCTGGGGCTCGTTGGAGGTCAGCCTTGTTGGAGATTGTTTGTAGTGTCCAATGGTATGGGGTTGGAATTGTCATCATCTATATTGTGACTTTATCGATATTCCCAGGTTATATAACAGAGGATGTGCACTCTGAGGTTCTCAAGGACTGGTACTCAGTCATCCTCATTGCTGGCTACAATGTGTTTGACTTGGTTGGCAAGTCTTTGACTGCCGTCTACCTCCTAAAGAATGCAAAGGTTGCCATTGGTGGTTGTTTTGTTAGATTGCTGTTTTATCCTCTCTTCTATGGTTGCTTGCACGGTCCTAAATTCTTTCGAACAGAGATCCCAGTGACAATACTCACATGTCTATTGGGGCTTACAAATGGCTATTTGACGAGTGTTCTGATGATTCTTGCTCCCAAAGTTGTCCCCTTGCAGCATGCAGAGACTGCCGGGATTGTGATTGTGTTGTACCTTGTGGTTGGTCTGGCTGCTGGATCAATTGTAGCTTGGTTTTGGGTAATCTAATGTTCAGGCATATTGTTTTTATTTACAGCGCTTAACTACTATTGTCATTCTGCTTTTCTAAGTGACAGAAAAAACAGAAAATTGAAGCCAAAAAAAAAAAAATATATATTGTTATCAACAAATCCCTCAAATCTAGGTTGGGATGGGTTGCTGTAAGTTTTTATTCTGTAAAGATTTGTGAACTCACTGTGGATAGTTTTATTTCATTTTATAAAGTTTATGGTAAATCCCCAAGTTCTATTGAAAGTCCTTTTCTGCATGGATTCAGTAACAATTAGGAAACACATTTTAGGCTTGTTTTTCTTTCACTTCTATCCTTTTTTTTTTTATCTGTTTTTCACTTTTCTCTTTATTTGCTAGAAGTTTCTCAATTTTTTCTCTCTTTCCTTTTTGTTACAAGTTTCTCAGCTTTTTTAGTATTATTAATGCCATATTCAGCAAAGGAAGCACTTTATTAACCTTTTTTTTTTTTACATTTCATCTAGTTCTGTTACACCATGTCAGCATAATAAAATTGCATATGGAAATTTAACAAATGATTATATATATATATATATATATATATATATATATATATATATATATTTCACAATCAAAACCGAAGAGCGTGATATTCAGCTCTCAAAACCATTTGAAACAATTCATCTTCTTTCTTCCAAAACTCTTCAAAAACATAAAGACAAAGGTTTTAAATACATTCATATTGGTTTAGTTCAAGTGGGGATTAAACCACTTACAAAAGAGGGATTGAACACCTCAATCCTAGCAATCCTTAGAGACAATAGGTTTACAAACTTTCAAGACTCTTTGTTAAGTTCAATTGAGTCTAGTCTATGCAGTGGACCTATTTCTTTTGATTGTTATCCTAATTTTACTGTTTCCTTGAATGACAAAAATATCATTGAATCATTGATGCTGCAAGTTAAAACTCATAATTATCATATGATGGATGGATCTATTCCAAGTAGCATTAATTACAAAAATTCATTATAAAGCCATGAATTCTCGCATTTGCATCTAAACACAAAAGGCAGTATTACAAAACCACTTTCCTAACCAGAGTTATGCTTAGGGAAGATTCAAACCAACCTTTTTGGAAGGAGAAATTCCTTGCAGGTTTACCAACCCTCTTAGGAGAAAAGGTTAGAACCCGAATTAAGGATGCTTTTGGTGACCAAATTCCTTATGACCAATTGACTTATGGTGAACTCGATAAGTTTAACCCAAAAAGAAGGTCTTAAGATATGTCAAGACTTAAAGCTCCGTAAACATCTTAAGTGGGAAATGAAAAAGACTAGACAGAATTAGGAAGTTTCTGCAAACAATTTGACATTTCCACTTCAAAACCTTCAGAGTTGCCAAGGTAATTGCCAAGACAAAACCCACAAATCTTACAAAAAACCTTATAGAAAACATTATCATAGGGATCAACCCAAAGATATAGAACCTTTCTATAAGAAACCATCCAACAAAAACCCCAAAAAACCCTTTAGGAAAACCCGAGTTTAGATCCCAATCTAGAACCGAGCTAAAGGATGTTACTTGTTTCAAATGTGGACAAAAAGGCCATACGGTAAGATATTGTCGTATGAATACTAGATTACAAGAGCTTCATTTAGATGAAGATGTTTATAACAAAATCTCTCGCTTTGTTAGTCGATTCCTCCGACCCTTCGGACTACTCGGTAGTGAAGAGACTTTTCGTGTAGATGAACTTGTCACGTCCTCCGAGTTCAAAACCCGGTTCGATAGTGAACCGGATAACAAAACCAAACATGCCGTTGTCTTAACCAAAGACCAAGACCTCATTTTAGACATAGTCAAGAGGATTGATGATCCTCAATTACAAAAGGAATATCTAGACGTACTCTTAAAGTCCGTGGAAGAAAAACCTCATGACAAACCAAAACCTTCTATCTTGCCTTCAACTAGTACTAGCACGTATGACCTTACCGCTATCCTAGATAGGAAGAAGAAGACCAAGAAACATATGACCACAATTCGGGACCTTCGCATCCGAACCGAGCTAAAGGATGTTACTTGTTTCAAATGTGGACAAAAAGGCCATACGGTAAGATATTGTCGTATGAATACTATTGGTATCGGAGCCTAAGTTGTTGGTGGGGTTGTATGTTTATGGTCTATAGATTTCATGTTTAGCTTCGTGTTACGAGTCTAGGGTATAGACAAGCGAGTTGGCATACTGTGGTAAGTCCCGACGGATAGGGCGATAAATCGGGAGTTAGTTGCCTTCATAACCTGCGTACCCAAAACCTCCGAACTATGTTTATGGTCTATAGATTTCATGTTTAGCTTCGTGTTACGAGTCTAGGGTATAGACAAGCGAGTTGGCATACTGTGGTAAGTCCCGACGGATAGGGCGAGTAAATCGGGAGTTAGTTGCCTTCATAACTCGCGTACCCAAAACCTCCGAACCATAGTCTAGGTATGGATTCTATGTTACGTAGATCTACTTCCTTTTCTACATCTTACGCTCGATTCTTCGAGTCTAAGAAGATAATCAATAGTGTAGAATATGTCATAGAAGATTTTGAAAAACAAATTGATGATTGGGCAATACCCAAGATTCACAAAGATGAGATTTACAAAACCAGCAAATATGGACTTTTCAAAGCCGATTTCACAATCAAAACCGAAGAGCGTGATATTCGGCTCTCAAAACCATTTGAAACAATTCATCTTCTTTCTTCCAAAACTCTTCAAAAACATAAAGACAAAGGTTTTAAATACATTCATATTGGTTTAGTTCAAGTGGGGATTAAACCACTTACAAAAGAGGGATTGAACACCTCAATCCTAGCGATCCTTAGAGACAATAGGTTTACAAACTTTCAAGACTCTTTGTTAAGTTCAATTGAGTCTAGTTTATGCGGTGGACCTATTTCTTTTGATTGTTATCCTAATTTTACTTGTTTCCTTGAATGACAAAAATATCATTGAATCATTGATGCTGCAAGTTAAAACTCATAATTATCATATGATGGATGGATCTATTCCGAGTAGCATTAATTACAAAAATTCATTATAAAGCCATGAATTACGCATTTGCATCTAAACACAAAAGGCGATCGACCAAAGGTGAAACCCTTCTTACGCAAACGAGATCGACCAAATCCAACACTGTTATTCCCGGACCTATTAGGTGGAAAGACATAGTGCTTCCGGATGAATGGATCTTGGAAGGAATTACAAAACACGGATCTCTACCGGTTCACGAGGTCCCAAAACCAAACACACAAATCGGATCCATAGAACAACACATGGATGGGAGTGTTAGACTCTCGTTTGACGAGAAAATTTACCGGCGGTAGATTTTCCGATATTGCCTCTAGTTCCATGACTTATGACCTAGGAAGATTTTCCGAGATTCCTTCGATCTTGTTCACCATAAGTCAATTGGTCATAAGGAATTTGGTCACCAAAAGCATCCTTAATTCGGGTTCTAACCTTTTCTCCTAAGAGGGTTGGTAAACCCGCAAGGAATTTCTCCTTCCAAAAAGGTTGGTTTGAATCTTCCCTAAGCATAACTGCTGGTTAGGAAAGTGGTTTTGTAATATCGGAAGTCACTAAGTTTCTTACACCTAAGGTTACTAAGAAGCTCGGCGTTTTTGTCTTTAAGATGAGAAGGGTCACCTATGAAATGAAGAGAAATGGTTAAGATAAGAGTGGACACGAGCATCTTGGATGGGTTCTCCTAAGTCATCTAGGATAGGGAGACCTTCTTGGTACGTTTGTATGGCATTTAAAATTTCCATATCTTTGTTGGGCGGTGAGATGATAGTCCCACCATCCTTTGAGTTGACCGGAAAATCCGGCGATAAGCAATTCGGCTATCGCTCGGTCGGGAGTACCGGTTTGGGTTTTGTAGGCGTTAGCGACCATGGTCATTTGTTGGAGTAGACTAAGGATATTATACTCCGACGGGCCATCTATAGTCCATTCATAAATGGAAGAGGCATTGAACCTAGGTTGGGCTAACTTGTTTGGCATTTCACCTATGTCGGGGGCAACAATCATAGGTAATGGGTTTTTCCAATGAAACTTATTAATTTCGGGGACGGATTCTGTCTCGATTTTTGATCTAGAACATTTACGCTATTGGATAAAGGAGTATCGGGAGCTACATGCTTAGAGGTTCCCTCGGAAGATATTCCTATCTTGCTAAGTTGGTCTCTAATGGCTTTGACAAACTCGGGTTTGTTAGATTGTATACTGGTTTTGACTCGATCTAGAAACACGAAAGGGTTTGAAGGCTGGGTTTTTCGGCTTACGGTCTTTAGCTTCTACGGGAGCTAAGGAGACTACGAGGTTTTGGGATAGGAGGAACAAGCTGTCTGCTTGGATATGGGATTCGATCCTAACAAGTTGTTTTCCTATGGTTTGGAGATTGGTATTGGTAAAATTGTTACGTTGAACAATGTTTTTGATGTTGGTCGAGTCATCATCTTTAGGGATTTTGTATGGGCATGCTTCTATTTTGGTTTCTCCATGGGAGAATGTCAATTTCCTAGGTGGCGGATGGTCGGAGTCGAATCATCTGTCCTTCCACTTCCCATGTAGGGGTTTTGTTCCTAACGATTCTTGGTTTCACGGATACGAAAGGATAAGAAATATCATTTGCGAAGCATAAATTTCAAACCAATCAAAGAATAATATATGAACTTTATGAGCATTCACAAATTCATAAAATTCATTTTGAATATCTTTTACGGTAGCCAGAAAGTTTTTGAAGAACCACATTCGTTTTTCAAAATTATGTTTTGCATAGAAGTCATCATGCGGATATTGTTTGTCTACTTGTAAAACTATCATCATTCAAAGCATAGTATGAATACTAGATTACAAGAGCTTCATTTAGATGAAGATGTTTATAACAAAATCTCTCGCTTTGTTAGTCGATTCCTCCGACCCTTCGACTACTCCGGTAGTGAAGAGACTTTTCGAGTAGATGAACT